GGCTTATGATTTGGGAAAATTGAAAAAAAATAAAGAATAAGAAAAAAAGTGAATTTATGATTCTTACTTAAATATAATTTCCTTTTAAATAAAATTGGAAAAACAAAATTGATCTAAAATAAAAAATTTAAGGACTAAAAACTGATGAAAAAATTAATTTTGAATTTGTTAGATATATTAAAGTAATTGAGTCACCTTTAGAACTCAAGTAAATTTTCAGCTAAAGCCTAAATTCATTAATGATATACTCCTCAAATATTTATTAAACTATAAAATTCATCTTGTTTTTACTTTGTGCATTTGCTGGTCAAAATAGTTTAGCATCTTACATTGAAATTAAGAGAAATTCTTTTTCCTTCCCTATCCAAGCAGAAACTAGTGTGTCCATATAGTGGAAGTTATGCTCCGTCTACATGCTTATGAGTTTTTTTACAACTAAAACCTCTACATGCTTATGAGTTTTTTACAAACTAAGGTAAATAAACTACTTGTTAGTTACTATCCAATTTAACTTTATAGTGTTCACTAATATAATGTTTGAACTAGTTTTTAAAGATTAATGTAGCATTTTATAAAAAGTTAATATATTTAACATTTAGCTTTTAGAGTTTCATGAAAAGCTACTAAAATGGCTAATAGTTAAATGCTACAAAAACAGCTAACTACTATTAAAACAGATAATTTTGTCCAACAGACTGTACATATATTACAATATTTAAGCGAGAATTCTTTTAGGTTTTAAGTATTACACATGCTCTTCTTATTGCTGCCTTTTTAGACCCCACCCACTAATTGAATGAATTACCTATGCATAAATTTGATCCTGAACTTTGGTCAATTATTCTTATGGCATTTTGATATAAAAGTGTAGAGTTATGATGGATTCTCCACAAAATTCAGGGGCTACAAAAATAATCGTCGAAAATACAATATCAAATTTATGCATTTGGCCTATCATTTATGCATGTTGGTATGCAATTAATTTCCCAATACAATCATAACAATGAGATTTAAATTTTTGAAACTTTCTTGTTCTCATTTGCTTATTTCCAATTTCTGTTTGTCAATGTCTGGTGCGGCTAACCCGATATTGGACTGAACTGCAGAAAGTTTCAATGTTATGTAATTATAGTCTTCTGTCTTTTTACATACATTATTATATAATTTGCATTTTCTACATTATTTATATTGTAATAATGCCATCTCCTTAATTATATATGAATTGCATATATTTTACATGTAAATAATGTTTGGAAAGAACTTTACTCGTACTTCTTGATTCTTCTTTTTAATTTATCTGTGATAATTAAGTCAATTTTTAGGAGATTCATGACATTAATTAATGGTTTTCTCAACTACACATTGAACTCCCACTTATGGATAGTTCTCTATGCAACCAAATGTAGCTTTTATGTGCAATATAATCCCAACTAGTTATGTACTCGCCATGGAGGGATTGTGTAATTTTATATTTTTTAATTGATTTGAATAGATAATTTTAAAAAAAATTATTATGATTTATATTTATTTTGCTTTAATTTAAATAATTTGCTAATGTATTTAATTAAACGATGAAAGATGAAATTACATGGTTCTTATGTAATTGAACTGAAAGAATTATTTACTTTTCCCTTTAGAATTTTCATATATTTAACTGAAATACTTATTAATTTTATATAATTAAATAAGGTATAAGAAGATTTCAATGTAATAAATTTTAGTGAATTGAAATTATATTTTAATTATATTAATTAGTTCACCATAATATTACTGTAACTTAATTATTTAATTAATGTTTATTAATTATAATTCTATTATATTGATCCATCAGATATATGATTCTATTATTTATTAAAAAAAACTTAATGTTTACTAAATGCAAAACAAAAGATCAATTATAATGGAATCCATTACAACTCCATTAGATTTCATTAATTTGTAACTCATTATTCAATAAAAAAAACATAATGCTTATTAAATTTAGAAAAAAAAAAGATTAATTATAAAAAGAAAAGATAAAATGTTGCATTTGCCACATCAACATCCATATTTTAAAATTATATATTTATATAGATAGCATAAACCATAAGTTTATCTAAAAAAATTGCAGGAAACAACATGAGATTTGTAAAAAGAATTCCAATACCTAATAAAGAAAGAAATTTCCATAAATTGAAATTATTAGTCAAAAGATGTAAATGAGGATTATATCTAGATTAAAATTTTTGAGAGAACAAAGAGTATTGTCCTATGAAAAAAAAACAAAAATGCCAAATAGGCTGAATTAAAAAAATATGAGGATATATTAAAGGAACTTGTTTTGTCAATTAGGTAAAACATAATATATATTTTAATCTATTCATAGGTTTTACTTAGGCTATATTTGATTGGATATAATGTAATGTAATAAAAAATGTAATGCAATGAAAAATATAATGGAATGGAATGGAATGTAATTAAAATTTCATCACTGTGTTTGGTAATATAATTGATAAAATTTATGGAATGTAATCACCATTCTATTTTTATGTTGTTTGTAAATATATAATGTAATGTAATTACCACCCACACTCCTCCTTCACCACCGCCATTATAACCACCAATCACCACTACCACCACCACTACTGCTACCACTTCAGCACTACCACCAACCTCACCACCACCACAACCACCATAGCACCACCACCACCGCCTCAAACACCACTATACCACCACTACCACCACTACCACCACCACTCTACCACGTCATTATTAACAAAAGAAGAATCTGAGGTCAAAACTATCAAAAATTAAAGTTATAAATTTATTTGAACTAAAAAGTTAAAGAAGGTAAGCAAAAAAAAATGTAATTTAGGGATGATTATTCGGTCGATTTGAATAAAATTTTTAACCGAAATAAATTGATTAAATTTTTTTTACTTAATCAAATTTAACCAAATTAATTTTTTAACCGAACTTAGCCGAATCATTTGATTGAATTAATTTTGATTCTTAACTGAATCAATGTTAAGGAAAATAAAAACTTAATTAGCCGACCGAATTTAATTGAAATATATGATTAACCGATTGTAACAGAAATAAAAATTAACCGAAGTTATTAATTACTATTTAATCAAAATAAAAAAGAACTAAAGAAATTTTTTAATTTAATTTTATATCCTGCTTAATACCATAAAACGACGAAGTGTTGAGAAGTCCCAATTAATTTGAATAATGGTTAGAATAATTTTTACCAATCACCACCGAATTAATTTTTAATCGAACATATACCAAAAAACCAAAGGCCGAATTTAACTGATTGAACAGAACCGAATGCCACCCCTAATGTAATAACAAATAAAGTAATAAGTCATAAAAGTAACTTTTTCATATATCATGAGTAATAAAAAATTATGGGTATTTTGATATTTTTAGTGATTTTTCATTCTATTATGCTCATTAATTCCTATAATAAAATAAAATAATAAAATATATTTTTTTCTGTGTTGCATATTACACACCAAAATATAATTTTTATTATGTGGTGAGGTGGCAGAGTGGTGGTTGTGGTGGTCGCGGTAGAGTAATTGAGGTGGTGGTAGCAGTAATGCAAACTGATGGTTGTGGTGGTGGTGATGGTGGTAGAGCACTGGTGGTGATGATGATGGTTGAGGTGATGGTGGTGGTTGAGGTAGAGGTGGTGGAGCAATGGTGATGGTGGTGGTAGTTGAGGTGGTGGTTAAGGTGGTGATGTGGTGGAGCAGTGGTGGTGGTTGAGGTGGAGGAGCGATGATGTCGAGGTGATAGAGCAGTGGTGGTAGTGGTGGAGTGGTGATAGTGGTGTGATTGGTGGTTGAGGCGATGGTGGTTGTTGAGATGGAGGTAGAGCAATGGTGATGGTGGTGGAGCGATGGTGAGGTGGTGGTAATATGATGGAGCAACAGTGGTGGTGAGTGGTGGTGGTTGAGAGGAGCGATGGTGGTTGAGGTGGTGGAGCAGTAGTGGTGGTGGTGGTTGAGGCAGTAATGAGAGTGGTGGAGCGGTGGTGGCGGCGGCAATGGCACGGTGGTGGTGATGGTGGTGAAGGTGGTTGAGGTGGTGGAGCAGTGTTGGGAGTAGTGGAGCGGTGGTGGTGGTAGAGCGATAGTGGTCGTGGTGGTTAAGGTGATGGTGAGGATTGTGGTGGTTGTGGCTCAATGGTGAAGGTGGTTGAGGTGGTGGAGCAGTGTGGAGCAGTGGTGGTGGTAGAGCGCGATAGTGGTGAGGTGGTAGGGGATGGTGAGGGTTGTGTGTTGTGGCGGCAATGGTGTGGTGGTGGAGCAGTGGTTGGAGGAGGTGGTTAATAGGTAGTTAAGAAGTAGTGGGTTAAATGGTGGTGGTAGGTGAGCACTGTGGTGAGGTGGTAGCGTATCAGTGATGGAGTGAAGGGCGCTGTGGGATGGTGGTGGTGGGTGGAAGCCGGTGGAGTGTAAATAGCTCTTGAATGGTAAGAGTTTTTATTGGAGTAAAACTGGATGTAATGAATAAGATACAGTATTGATGCATGGGCAAATAATTATTTTTTTTATGTAATGATATATACAAATGTAAAGTAATTAGGAGAGCACATGTATCTCAAATTACATGTACATTGATTACATTGTCCAGAAAAAATCTAACCAAACAATATAGTCAGTCATGTAATGTAATCCTCATTCCATTACATGGTTGATTACATCATACCAAACATGGCATTATTGTAATCAGAGTAGCAGTAGTAGTAATGGGAGAAGCAATAAAAGATTGAAAAAAAAAGGCGCTGAATCAAAAGCATTATCAAATCTAATTAAAACTGAAAACAACAAATGGCATTTGATATTCTTTATAATGAATCGTTTCAGCAAGTGGCAACAAGGCCACCAAAACAAAAATGCAAATGACAGTTAAAATCACAAAAATTCAGCACATAAAATCTCAAATGGAGCTATAATGACAAATAAAATTATCAGAACCTCTCAGCCAATCTAGTAGTAACTTGTCTCTCAGCCAATCTAGTAGTAACTTGTCTAAGCTTCGAGTATACCTTTCCAGCAGGAGACCCTAAAATGAGGCTGCACAGAGAATCTCTAGCAATTTTAATGTTTTGAAAAGATCCTAATGTGTGAACTTTAGTGTCAGCTATCACAATTCTTGTTTTTGTAGCATTCTCAATAGCAAACTTTATTTTGCCTCCTTTACCCTAGAGTCTTCCAATGGCACGAGACAAGTGCTCACCTCTAAGGGTTTTAACATCTTTGATTTCGAAAGAGTCTACATATAGTTCATCCAATCACAGTAGTGCAATAGCATCTATAACATCAAAGCCTAGCATGAAGGCATGTATAAAATCTGCACATTTCTGCAGGTTACTAATATCTGGTGTATCAGATCTGGTTTTTAATTCAACCTTTCTACCCTTGAGGTTCATACAGATATCAATGTTCATTTGCTCATATATAGGAGTGTAAATATCCATCCACACTTTCTTGAGAGGTGAATACCTATGTGGTGGAACCGAAACCTTCCTAAATTGAACTCGACCATCAGACATCTCATGAGCCTTTAAAGGCTCAAACTTTGGCTTCGCCGGCGAAGATGTTTCATCTATAACCTTTTCTACTTCCATTGAAGAAGGGGCTTCACCAGACTGCATTGTGATTGATCACCCAAGTTCTGGAATAACAAAACATTTGATTTATGATGTAATATATTCATTCAAAAAGGAATAAACCAAAACATTTTAGATTTATGATGTAATATATTCATTCAAAAAACAGCCATTCAAAAAGTTCTAACCAACTATAATCCTAACAATTCATCAAACCATCAAAAAGTTCTAACAATATAATCCTAAAATCATAAACCCATGGAAAAAGAGGTCCGCTATGAACATGATAACAGACTATAAAAAGAAGGGAATAAATTTCGTGGCATGAAATTCAACACATGAAGCAGCAAAATCATAATAATCAATGCAAATTCAGGCCATTATCTTTTCTCTATTTTCTTTGTAAAATACTATTATATAATTGAAAAACAGAAGATAGGAACGGAATAGCAACGGAATAAAAATTGCCCCATACGACAATCTTTTGTCATTCACAAAATCCAAACCATTATGGAACTGACTAATATAATCCCTACTTCTGTACGAAATCTGAGCTATACTAACTGAACCCCCGAACCAAAAAACAAAGAAAAACATCCTTTCCTTTCAAAAGTTTCAGGGAATTCCTTCACCAAAACATTCATGGAAACGATTCGAATAAAAGTCTATTACCAAACTGCTACAAGTCTACACCCGTTATTCTCATGGGTTCAGGTCCAAACAACCACAAATTGAGTTTTTGAATTAGTCAATTATTTCAGTTATTTGTTCTTAGTTGTTGGTTTGAATATTTCCTGTTTTGTAGGAAGGTGTTCCTCCACTTTCCATTTCATGTTTTTTGTTGAGGAGGGTGTTCCTCCATGTTGAAGTAGTGCTCCTTTGATGTAGGAAGCTGTTATACTTCCTCTTTGTATTTAAACAATAAAAACATCAATGAAGGGTATGCTTCCAAAAATCAATTCAAGTTTTGAGCACTTTCCACAAATTGAGTTTTTGAATTAGTCAATCAAATGAGTTTTTGAATTTAGTCAATATTTCCAGTTATTTGTTCTTAGTTTGTGGTTTGGAATGTTGTTGGTTTGAATATTTCCTGTTTTGTAGGAGGGTGTTCCTCCACTTTCCATTTCATGTTTTTTGTTGAGGAGGGTGTTCCTCCATGTTGAAGTAGTACTCCTTTGATGTAGGAAGCTGTTATACTTCCTTTCTGCATTTAAACAATAAAAACATCAATGAAGGGTTTGCCTCCAAAAATCAATTCAAGTTTTGAGCACTTCAAGTCTCAAGAGGTTTACAGGTTTTACAGGTTCCAGCACTTCAAGTCTCAAGAGGTTTACAGGTTCCCTCCTTAGAGCCTGACTTCCCTAACACCATAGGTCGCCACAAGAAAAACCCTAACCCAAACACCTACCACACCTCTAACCAATCGCCCCATAACCAGATCCATAGCCCGGGACTCTAACAATGTCTCACAAGCAAAATAAAGCTGACGACAATAGCACACCAAATTTCATTAATCAACAGCTATATTGTAAACCAAATCTGCTTTTATGATCCAAAAGGCCATCACTCAGATTCATACTGTGCGATTGGAATCACAAGTTTCTAACAACTCAAAATAACAAAACAATCATAAATTTGGGAGCAAGAATCAAAGAACTATTATACCATTGAATTCGATGTTAAAACCACTGAATAATGAGAACTGAAAACCTGAAAGACAAAAATCAAAAGAAAATTCCTTACCACCAAACGCGGACTTACCAGCAGGATCTTATCAATGCTTTCGTTGAGCGTGATGGGGAGCGACTAGATGACTAAGGATCAGCCGGACCGAGTTCTCTTCCTTGTCTCGTTCACCTGTACTTCTCTCTTGTCTCGTTACTGTATTCGGCGAAAGAGAAAATGAAAAAAAGGAAAGAGGGCTTAGGGTTTTTCAATAACGTCTGTCAAAGGGAGACTTAAATATGAGTTGCTTGGTACGACGCCGTCAAGTAGAAAGAAGTTACAGATAGCAGTGATTTCACTTTAGTCTAAATCAGTGTTATTAAATCCGGTCCAGACATCACCCGCCTAAGTGGGGGTGGCCATATTATGGTTCTGGGAACCGGAACCGGTGGTTCGAACCAGTCCCGAACCATAATCGAAACCGGGGGAATGGAAACCCGTCCGAACTGGAATCAGAACCAGAGATTTTCGGTTTGGGTCCGGTTCCAGTTTTGTTGGAACTGCAAACCGACGGTTGCACAAACTGATCGGAACCGCCGTTTCTCTAGCCGGTTCGAACCGACGGTTCTAGCCGTTAGAAACTGTCAGTTTTTTTTTAATTTTTTTGTGAAATCTCTTAATTACCTCTCCCAACAACCATAGACGGCTACATAACGACTAGTTTCAAGGGTATTTTTGGAAAAATAATTTTTTGCATTTATTATTAAATACCTCATTTCATTTCATTTACAAATTCCTCACACCTTCGATTTTCATCTTCATTTACAAATTCCTCACAAAAAAAACTCTTCTACCCCTTCCTCTACGACTATGCGCTACACTCTACTCATAGATGTATTCTCCTCTACTCTTTACAATCCTGCTCTATATTATTCTCTTCTGAATTTTTATTACGAATTTTCCCAAACTTATATTCTTATATCAGTATCAATGGCAAGGGAGGAAAACTCAAAATCTTGGTCAAGGGGCAAGGAAAAGATTGCGAAGAAACCAACTATTCATTGTATCCCTACAAAGACATCTTTGACTTTCACTCGCCAAGCCAATCTGCAATTTTTGAGGGATATCCCAAATGAAAATGGGAAATTCCAAAGCTCAAAGAATACTGAATTTAATAATGACGGCAATCGTACAAGAAGAGGCAAGAGCAAGAGCGCAGGAGCAAACGTGCACAAAATTGTTAAGCAGGCCAAGACCAAAGGTGCCGTACATATTCGACCATTCAGCTTTCACGAAAAAATTCAAAGGTGAGAAAATGTTCGATGTAATTTGCCCAAATTATTGTGGGAAAATCTGTTATAAATTTAAACCAAGCGGCGGCGGCTATGATCATTTTGCGAAGCAGTTTTGAGACACAACACAATCTAACAAAAAATAGGAGTTTGATCGGTCTCAAATACAAATTTTCTCAGGGTACGATCTTCCTAACGCTATCTTTTCTTCTAACCTATCTTTATTTCAACATTCTAAAAAAATACAAAAAGAACAATTAGCAAAAATGATTTCAGTTATTGAATTAGTCAATTATTTCAGTTATTTGTTCTTACTTCTTGGTCTGAATATTTCCTGTTTTGTAAGAGGGTGTTCCTCCACTTTCCATTTCCTGTTTTTTGTTGAGGAGGGTGTTCCTCCATGTTGAAGTAGTGCTCCTTTGATGTACGAAGCTGTTATGCTTCCTTTCTGTATGCTTCCTTTCTGTATTTAAACAATAAAACCATCAATGAAGGGTATGCTTCCAAAAATCAATTCAAGTTTTGAGCACTTTCCACAAATTGAGTTTTTGAATTAGTCAATTATTTCAGTTATTTTATTTGTTCTTAGTTGTTGGTTTGAATATTTCCTGTTTTGTAGGAGGGTGTTCCTCGACTTTACATTTCATGTTTTTTGTTGAGGAGGGTGTTCCTCCATGTTGAAGTAGAGCTCCTTTGATATAGGAAGCTGTTATACTTCCTTTCTGTATTTAAACAATAAAAACATTAATGAAGGGTATGCTTCGAAAAATCAATTCAAGTTTTGAGCACTTCAAGTCTCAAGAGGTTTACAGGTAAGAGGTTTATCAGGTTCCCTCCTTAGAGCGCTGACTTCCCTAAACACCAGTAGGTCGCCACAAGAAAAATCTCTCTCTT